GACCTACAGTTCCAGAAATAAAATCGTCTTAAGCAATTTGGAGTGATTTATCAATTTTTTAATTTTTTTTGAGTGCCTTTTTTCATAGAATCTGGCTCCAAATCTCAAAATAATTTAGTGTATGAAGTTTAGGAATCCCCGAGGGAATCCCCAATGATCATTTAGAGACAAAACCCCAACATAAAAAAATTTGAAATTTCATCATTTTAGTACTAAGTACTTAAGGTTAAGGTAGCTTGCCTTATGATTAAGATTTTTGTAAACTTTACAAAATCATAACTTTTTTTCTATTAGAGATAGAAAACTGAAATTTTCAGCGATTCTTATTGCAGTAGAGGAGTACAATCCCTGAAAATTTCAACTCATTTGGTAATAAATAAAATAATTTTGTATAGAGTTTGGGGGATCCTCAATGATTCTTTAGACACAAAATTTTAACATACAAAAAAGTGGAAATTTTATCATTTCAGTAGGTACCTCGGTAGGTACCTACTGAAATACCCTCTGATTTAGATTTTTGAAAATTCATAACTTTTTTCTATTGTAGATGTTCGCAAATATGAAATTTTGAGGTTTCATTCTTGAAGGTTCAAGGTAAAACATACCTACTAGAAATTCAAGGTGATCGAACTACAATTTCTTCTTAAATAGTAAATTCTTTTTAATAAATCCTCACCCTCTATAAATTTACATAACCATAGTTTTAATCTGAAATATTTTCCCGCAATCACGTAGCTATCTGAGGTAACCATTATCATAAAATAACATTGTGGCTTATTAACGCTGTTTGTCTATTCAAGCTTTGGTTCATGTAGATTAGTTCGAAAACTCAGTCATTTTCAGGTCCGGATATTTACCTACTCGTTAATTTAAAAATTACTCATTTTCATATCAGAACGGCTCATTAATGACTAAAATGAGACACCGGGTGTTTTCGGAGATGGCCGCCAGTTGGGGGATTTACTACAAGGATAATACACACTACTACTACGACTACAGGATAGCCTATCCTGATAAGGTCATATTTTGAGAGGACATCTGTCAAAAATTACATTTGACAGGTTGAGTATTCGGAATTGTATTATCATCCGAACTTGAAGTGTATGCAAAATATCGGCAAAACCCGTTGCGAAGAAATGGTTCAAAAATCTGCACCTGTCGCATTTGACAGTTGACAGCTGTCATTAGTGGTCTAAAATTTAAAATCACTCGAACTTAAAGTCTATGCAAAATTTTAGCAAAATTCGTTGCGAAGAAATGGTTCAAAAATCTGCACCTGTCACATTTGTCAGTTAACACGTTGACACTTGTCATTTTTGGTCTAAGATGTATTATCACCCGAACTTAAAGTGTATGCAAAATTTCAGCAAAATCCGTTGCAAAGAAATGGTTCAAAAATCTACACCTGTCACTATTTGACAGTTGACACGAGTTTTCCGGAAAATTTGACCAAGCACTATATCATTCTAAAACAACTCGTTTTTAGATCTCTTTTTCATCTTCCTCTTTGCCTATTATGTTAAAATTTAAATAATAATTTTTCATCATAAATTTAAATTCTGAACTATGACCTCTAGTGCAAACAGCTGATAACTTTTTTAATGACGTCGGAAATGGTGACACACTAATATGGCGGCGGTTATCAAAGAAAAATGTCGATAAGCAACCCTTAGTAGTGTATTATCCTTGATTTACTAAACCTACTTGAATTGAAACTCAGATATACGCAAAAGCCAACCAACAAGGAAAAAAATTAGGTATAATTATATGATTTATGATTTTTATTGTAGAATAAATATAAATAATAGTAGTTTTCCTAATCAGTGCGCAAAGTTATATTTTCCCGCATGCAGAAGCAGTTAGACGAACGACGCGTAGCGGAGTTCGGATAAGCTTTTTCCCGCACAATTTTGGGAAAGGGTTTCTTTGCGTACGCAAAAGTGTGCGCAAAGTAGTTACTTTGCACACACTCGTAGAAAAAATAATTAACTAAATCCTGGCTTGGTTTTGGGACAAAAACTGGCACCATCTATTCGCATAGTTGTAAACTACTGTAGCTGCTTACGAACTGACCATTTTCTGACCTATGTTGAAGTTTTCGATTTCCATTTATCGATTAGTGTAGTGTACACTGAGTTTATTCCCATCTTTTTCTAATAACATGTAAAACATAAGGATAAAGATAATTTTTTTTCGCGCTGTTTACTGTTCAGATTTTTTCTTCAAGTTAGGTCAGAAAGTGGCAGTGTTGCCAGGTCAACTTTCATGCGCCAGTTTTAACATTAAAATGCGCCACCAAAGCGCCATAGGAGTAAAAAGTTGTGGGAGCTTCAAACATCGGCTATAAGGCTAAACAAAACTACTAACTACAGTGACTCAATACACCTTTTTTATCAATAATGGCGGCCCTAAGGGACGAATTTATAGTCGCTTTTTGAGGTTTTCTCGGACCTTAAGTGGGCATCCACACCAAAGTAGCATACGACACGTTGGATTTGCTACTAGAAAGTAGGAAGCACGCAAACTATCTAAATATACGACGCAAGTTTCCACGGCGCATTTTTGCGACGCTATTCCGGTGTGAAACCTACCATATATTTTACGGATACGGATATTTTTTTTTTTACGGATATGCGCACTCGCAAGGAAATGTCCTATCACGCTCGAGAAGCTATAGTCCAAGAGCCCAGAGCCGCCAGACACAACTTATTTTCTAAAGGACAGATGTGTGGGATTCAGTAGCACTTATAGGTACTATGAACGTATGTATACCTACTCGCTAAGTTGGGTAGACGGCCAATTGACTGTTATTTGTAAATAACGGTTTTTCCCGTTGTGGGAAAAGCCGAATCCCATTTCTACTTTAGCCTGGAGTAGACTGTAAGTTTAAGAGGGGGAAATCAGTTGAAATAGATATCTCGCTCACTCTCAAACGCATGCATAGTACCCTCACGCTCACACTCACGGAAAAATTATTATTGCGTCTGGGGGTATGCTTGGCCGGTGCGATTGGTCTGGCTGAGCACACCTAGTTATGAAATAGTCTCCCCAATAACATATACCTATAAAAATCAAGCATTAGAAAAAAAATTAAAGTATTTTTTGAGCTTTCGCACCTGGTGTCGGTAAATTGGCCGTCTACCCAACTTAGCGGGTATACATACGTTCATAGTACATAAGGGTGCTACACAATCGCACATATTTTGTCCTTTAGAAAATAAGTTATGTCTGGCGGCTCTGGGCTCTTGGACTATAAAGGTTGTAGCAAGTGTCCATGTGTCTATTCTAAACTCACGACCTCCAAGGAAGACCCAAGGAACGACTATACATTTGGCCCTAAAGCCTAAAGGTCTCGCCGCCATATTCTTGTTAATTTTAAATAGGAATCTAGAAGTGAACCGGTTCGAAGTGAACCACGCCCCCGCCGCCATATTCTTGTTTATTTTCAATATAAATATATGGGATTTTAAAGAACCAATCAAAAAAAGGGCGGCAATTGTCGCCACTGTGGTTTATTGAATCACTGTAAAGGCCACGATTTTAAAGCGCCACTTGTGGGCGCCTGGCGCATTTTCCAAAATTCAAGGCACCATTTCAATTTTGAAAGCGCCGCTTTGGCGCAAATGCGCCACACCTGGCAACACTGGAAAGTGGTCTGTTCGTAAGCAGCTTGTATGAACGGGCCAGATTTTCTTTTGAAAATGTATTATTTGTAGGGAGTGAACTCTGCGCCTACCGGTAGGTCCCATTTGTTTCATTGATTGTGTGCTTATCGTATTCCTACGAATTCCTTAATGAAAATTTTGCAAACAAACAAAATTGTATTAACGCATTTAGCTAGCAAGAGCTGCCTGGTAGGATATACGGATTCTAAAGTAATAAAATACCTCCAGTCTCCAGTAGGCGCTTGATTAATGTACGAAAAAGGACCTACCTACCAGTAGGCGCACAATCGCTGGATGAAAAAGGACCTACTGGTAGGCGTACGACCTTATTTATATGAAAACAATAATAATAAGTGTAGTAGTTACATGCGAAACTAACAATTTTCAATAGAATGGTACCAAAAACGTGCCTACCTTGCAATTTACGTTGCCCCAACAGCACACAAAGTTTTCAAGACCAAAAATACATAATTTCACTCATTGTCCTGTGTCGACTGTCCAGTCGGACGCAAAACACCCCGACGAACACTTTAAAACACTTTTTCGCATTATAATCGCCAGAAAAACTACAAAATTTTGGGAAAAACCGAGCTGGCATACACAAGACATGAAATTGTCGACAAGATGGCCGCGAATTCGGGGATTTACAAAGCTTGCTTGAAATCTTTGACTTGAAATTAATACATGCGCAAAGCATAGCATCAAAGCAAGCCAACAAGAAATAAATTATTATAATATAGTTTTTATTGTAGAATAAATTAAAATAAAAGATTTAACTAAATACTGGCATGGTTTTAATCAAAGAATGTTTTAATAATTAACATGCGGCTTCATATTTGATGAAGAAATAAAATCTCCACAATACTGGCGCCATCTAGTCGCAAACTTACAAACTACACTTTATAAATAAAATAATCTTGGTATGAATATGGTATAAGAGTATATTGTGTAACACGTGTGAAAAGTGCTATTTTCAAAACTTTTTGCACAATATACTGTTTTATTCCTGCTTAGAGAAACAAAAGTTTAATTAAATTAATATTATCGTAAAATGCACCAAATAATACCTACAATATATCTATCTCTCTCTTGCCCATGAATAAATGCTTATTGCAAGTTTACTTGTAAGGCACTGTTGTCAGCTCTTCTTTAATTATCAAGTTTTCGTCATGTAAAAGCAGTATGATAATGCTGTAACCTTTTTTTTGAGTTGCTTTTCAATTATTTTCTTTTAATTAAGTAAATATATTCAATATAAATTGATAATTTTCGCTAAATAGTTAATACTGAAGTTTATCTGTAAGAAAAAGAAGAATAAAAATATACGTCAACCAAAAAAAAGAAGAAGATCACAGCGAACATCCCTGACAAAATGGCCGGTCGTTAAAATTGTATTTCCCACGTTTCCAATACAAAAATTGCTCGCAACTCCTCCATTTTCAGTCTTGATATTTCCAATTCTCCATGAAAAACCACCCAAAATCTCAGGTAAATATATTTCCTATTAAAATCAATTCCCGTTTCTTATTGTCATCAATCGATAAGTGAAATATTGACGAAACAAAAATATACAGAGGACCTTGGCCTTGGCTGCAAAGTTTCCAGAAGTTTGTTTCCAAGAGACAGAAAAAATGGACACAAGCAACGAAAATGTTAAGGACAATGAAGACAAAAATCTACCCTCCGGGACTTCTACTGTCATAGATTCACCTGCACCAGGAGCAGGTGAAGGTGATACTGGAGGAGAAATGTTACCTCCAAAATCTAATGGTAAAACATTATTAATTTTATTTCAAAATAAACCCCCACCCAATATATTTGCAATGATTTCCCTTAGGGCCGGTTTCCCAATAGGGTTAAGCATAATTTATATTGCAATTGGACATGTTTACCCAGAGGTGACTCGCTATTGAGAAACCGACCCTTATTCAACAACCTCCTTAGAAAAAACAAAGCCTTTTAGGCCTACTTTAAAATTAGGAATTAAAATTGTTGGTTCAATTATTACAAAGATGTTTCGAATCAACTTCACATATTTACTTACATTTTTCATTTTACCATTTTCTTGTCATGTTAGTGGCCTTGAGAAAAATTTTCATAAACTAGTATAAACCATGCTAGTTAAGAGTGTTGGACCTATTTCTATTTAATTCCTAAGGGCCTGTTTCTCAATAGCAAGTCACCCCTGGGTTAAGCATAACTACAGGGTAAACATAGCAACTGGACACGCTTACCCTGGAGCGAGCCTTGGAGTTAAAACCAAACCAACTCGGAAGTGAATCGCTATTGAGAAACTAACTCTCAATGTAATTAATCTGACTTTTTCTATTTGTTATCATTTCTCTAATATTTTATGGTATTTTGTTGAAGGATTTAGATGCCTAAGGTTGAAGACACAATGACAAATTCAAGGTACAAGGAACAAAATCCAAAAATGTCTCATGTGTTTTTATGTTTTTGTTTCCTATCACTTGTACCTTGTGTTTGTCATTATATCTTCACTCTTCAGCCTGTGCAATTAGGTTCTTTAGTAAGGCTAAATGCATTGTTGAAGTCCCTGTTAGTTAACAAGAACCTTATATTGTGTCAATTATCACTATGATTGTTTTTGTGTGGCACAACTTTTAAATTTAAAAGAAAATCAAAAAATATTAAGAAAACCACGAAAGAATCAGCACTAAAAGATTTTTGGAAAAAGCCTAAATGTATTTTGGAGTTGGTTGTTGTTAAGCGCTCCTGGATGTTAGTTTGTCACCTTTTATTGGAATTGTTTGTTTTTTATTTTATTAATTTGGCATTCTACACCAAAAACATGCTGTTGTTCTGTAACTCTGCCTCCACTATACGAACCTGACGAAACCGACAATGATGATGGCCCTTCACTAGGCCGAAAGCGCTGGGTTAATATTTAATAAAGAAATTTACACCTTTACACTAAATCTGCCTTTTCTTCAACTTCTCTGGTGTACTTCCAAACCCCCTTCTCGATTTTAATACTTTGTTTTGGAGTACTTGAACTGTGTTGAAATTTGTTACAAACACTGGCATTTGATATCTTAAGTGTGATTGTATTCAACTGATCATTTGGGACCTTCCAATCCCACACACAGTAAATCATTCTCAGATTTGAAACTGAAATCTTTGAAAAAAGGCCCTCAGAAAAATTCACACCACTTGATGGTTTAACACGAGTTTATTTCAGAAACCATAAGTCCTAATGAGCTGAAATTTTCAGGGATTTTAGTCCTCTACTAGGAAAGAATCGCTGAAAATTTCAGTTTTTTATCTCTGATAGGAAAAAGGTATGATCTTTCAGACTTTTCAGAAATCTAAATCATTAAGTAGCTCCCTTGGTACCTCGCTTGGTACTAAAATGATGACATTTCAAATTTTTTTTATGTTGAGATTTTGTATCTTATTGATCATTGGGGACCTTCCAAAGTCCATACACTGAATAATTCTGAGATTTGAAGTCGAACTCAAAAAAGGCACTCAGAATAATTGAAAAATGTATAATTTACCCCAAATTGCTTAATGCGATTTTATTTTAGAAGCCATAAGTCAAAATGAGCTGTAATTTTCAGGGATTGTAGTCCTTTACTAGGATAAGAATCGCTGAAAATTTCAGCTATGTTATGATATTCTTAATTCTGTTTTTATTTAAGAGTTGGTCATTTTAAGATTATCTTCTAGTTTACTTTAATTTAGGTTTAGAATTAGTTAACTGACAAAACTAAATAACCATCCACTGATAATTCAGTCCTAAGATAAGTCAATAAGCATTATTGCTGTACCTCATTCAATTACATGTAAAAAAAAAACAATATGTAAATTATACATAAACTAGCTGACCCGGCGAACTTCGTACCGCCTCTAAATTATTAAATATACATACCTATTAAATGTTGTGTTAACGTATCTATTAGCTGAATTAAATTCATTTTTTTTCGATGGTGAATTTGGCTTTGGTGGAAGAAAATTAATGTTTACTCTCTGGATCAGAAGTCACCTAAAATTAAAATTTTACATCATCCTTTTTTAGGCAGCTTGTGGGCATTATTCTTGTAAAGTGTACCACCAAATAAATAAACTCAGGCACAGGAATGTTCAAAAAATGTATAGAAAAAAAAAATCTCTAGCTCAGCCCTGTTTCACTCTATCTGCACTGCATGCATACTGCACTACTCCATCTGTTCTACTCTATCTGCACTACTCTATCTGATCTACTCTTTCTGCACCACTCTATCTGATCGGAATAGTGGAATAGTTCTGTTCGAAATAGCTCCAGTTCCTGAGCAGCATTGTTCTACTGTATCTGCAATGCCGAGCTTCGTTCCAGGTATCAGAGATGGCGCGGAATACAAAATACAAAATAAACTTGGTATCGGTTATAAGAGATGGCGCCGTATGCGGGCTTACTAAATTTTTTTCATAAATAAATAAAATAAGTAATGAAATGACCACATTAATGACATGCGCAAGTCGAAAGACGTCTGAGCTAGGCATTCGCAACATTACGCAGGGTTGATCAGGCAATACTGCAAATTGAGAGATTTTTGTAGTACTGAGGGAAAAAAATAGGTTGTGTCAACTGTCGACTTTTGACAAATTTTTACTTTTTTGTGGAAAATGTCTGAAAATAATAATTCAAATTCTTTATTCATGTTATTATACAGAGCAGAGTACTTACACACATCAAAAATGTAATAAAAAAATAGAGTAAAGCACTATTCATTATATAAAAATTCTAAAAAAAATTGTAAAACTTAATCCTAATTTACCACAATTTAGAAAACAAGAATTTAAAAAACAAGTCAGGTACTATAGAATACATCACACTTTCAAAGGATAACATTACAATTAAAAAATTCACTAACACTATAAAATCCCTTACTCAGAAGAAAATCTTTGAAAGCCTTTCTAAAAGTATTGGGGGGCATCTCCCAAACGTGAGGGGGCAGCTTATTAAAAAGCCTGATCCCAAGGAAGCCAGGGCCATCTTGACCTCTTTTAAGTCGTCTGTGCGGGGGCACTAGTTGCCCACGGTTGCGGGTTTCATAGGAATGCACATTCTCATGCCTGTCAAGATTATGCAGGTTATTCCTCACATGCAGTACACATTCAAGAATGAATTGAGCAGGGACGGTCAAGATCCCTAGGGACACAAACGCGTGTCGACAGTCATCACAGTATGATAAGTTTGCGATAACCCTAACTGCACGTCTCTGGACACGGAAGACATCTGTTGTGCCAGTACAATGGCCCCAAATTAAAATTGCATAAGATATATGGGAGTGCAAAAGGGCAAAGTATGCCTGTCTCAGGACTGACTGGGATACACTGTCTGACAGCCTACGAAGTAGAAAGGTGTTTGAGCTTAATTTGGAAACCAAGGAAGATGTGTGATGATTCCATCTTAGTCTAGAATCTAAAGTTATGCCTGAGAATTTAACAGTGACATCATCTTCCGGAAGCCATCTCATGGAAAAGACCATGTTTTGAGTTTTGGCCATGTTCAAGAATTGTTGGCCTTGAACCAGAGCTCTGCCCTTTCCTGCGCCTCACGCGCCGCCGTCCTAGCTCCCTCGTAATCATGGCTGGTGCAAGCTATGGTAGTGTCATCCGCGAAGAGGGTGTACCGGGCGATGTGATCTGCTCGAGGTAGATCATTTATATAAATAAGAAACAAAAGGGGTCCCAAGATTGACCCCTGTGGTACACCAACCAGCACCTCCCTCTCCGAGGATTCCACACCACCAACCCTCACCACCTGAGGACGGTTTGACAAGTAACTAGATAGAACTGCAATACTACTATCGGAAAAATTATATTTTTTTAGTTTGGCAAGTAAAATTTTCCGTGAAACGCAGTCAAAGGCTTTGCTAAGGTCGCAGAACGTCCCGGACATGTACGTACCATTTTCAAAGGACTCTTGTATCTGAGAGACCAGATTAAGAACAACTGATGTTGTATTTAAGCCACTCCTGAATCCGAATTGGCTGTCGGTAAACAGGTTCTCAGTCTGAAAAAAGTTAATGATACGTACGGCAAGAAACTTCTCAATGATCTTTGAAAGTATTGGCAGTAGTGATATCGGTCTATAATTCGAGGGATCAGCAGCATCCCCCTTTTTATAAACCGGATCCACAACCGCACTCTTTAGAACCGATGGATAAGAAACGGAGAGCAAATGCATCAGTGCATCAGATAAGCAGAAAAAATTGCTTGTGGAGTATGTAAAGAAGGAGCCGCAACAAATTAGCGATAAACAAATTTAGAGCCGGTTTCTCAATAGTAAGTCACCCCCAAGTTAAGCATAACTCCAGGGTAAGTGTTGCTTTCTCAATAGCGAGTCACCTCCGGAATGGTTTTAACACCAGAGTCAACGTGTCCAGTTGCAATGTCTGGAGTTATGCTTAACCCGGGGGTGACTTGCTATTGAGAAACCGGCCCTCAACATTGCAACTGGACACATTTACCCTGAGGTTAAAACCAACCCGGAATTGACTCGCTATTGAGAAACCGACCCTCAAAGTTATACAAAGAAGTCTATAATGTGCAGCGCTGGACGGAAGTTGTTCCAAACATTCGATCAAATATAAAACAAGATCTTCTCTTAATCGAAACAACTCAATAAATTGGTAATGGTTAAGCTCTATGAATGGATTTAGAGGGTTATACTGGTTGTTTGGTAGATTTTGTTGCTCTGCTATTTCCATATTTCGTATTGCGAGTATCACAAAATAATAACAGCTGATATAACCACAAATGTAGGTACGTAGGGAAATCTTTGTTGATAATTTTAGAATTCAAATGAATAACGAGAATATTGAATATGTGGACAAAATAAAATATCTTGGTTTTATTTTAAATAATCAATTAAGTTTAAATGATCATTTTGAATATATAATTGGTAAAATTGGTAAAAAGATTGGTTTTTTGTGTCGTTTGAGGTACAGACTATCATTGCATACGAAGAGGTTAATATTTAATAGTATAATAAAGCCACATTTTGATTACTGTGGATCCTTGCTTTTTTTTTGGAAATAAGACTGATGTGGATAAATTACAAGCCCTTCAGAATAGAGCAATGAGAGCAATTTTAAATCGCGATCATTATGAACCAATTAAAAATATGTTAACTTCTTTAAATTGGCTTGACGTTAATTGTAGTTTCAAATATCAACTTTTGCTTTTCATTTATAAAATAGAACATGCACTGCAGCCTCCATATTTACAAGATCTCTTACAAAGAAATAATGAAATTCATAGTTATCATACAAGAAATCAGTACAATTTTCATCCATGTACAATAAAAAATTATTCAACCTCCTTTGGTTTATTTGATATGGGTTTGTCATTCTATAACTTGCTGCCTAACGAGTTGAAAACTGGGTCCTTAAATAAAACAAAAAAAGCATTAAAAGAATATATTATGAATGAATCAAAATAAAGTTCCTTTTGTTGGTTGTTATTTGTGATAACACAGAGCCTATACCTATTTAGATTTTAGATTTAGTTTTAAGTAATTTTTTGTAACAAATTGTTGTATTAATGGGTTTTCCAAATAAACGATTTATTATTATTATTGTCAGCGCATACGCAACACTTCGGCAAGTCTCTCGCCGCTCGCAGTGAAACATATGAAAATGTGCATGCGTGAAGATGCGACTACTCAAAAATGGGATTTCGTAGTCTTCGCACATTTACGTAGATTTTCTATAGTTAAGAATGGTCAAAAATTGGCCCCCTGGTACTGTCCACGCTGAAAAAAGTTTCAATTTGGCAGCAAAATCCCCATTAACAAAATGATCCTCCATTTATTGAATAATTCATTTATTACAAAAAAATGTGATAAATGAAGAACCGCTCAACCATCTTGTATATAGATAAACATCACCCTCACCCCACATAAATAGAACAGAGAAAAAATTAAAAAATCATAAACACAAGTTACAATATAAAAAATATGCAAAATACTGTATTTCAAGGTACATTTTATACTTGAATTGTTTCACCTAAGAAAGCAATTTTTAAGTTTATAATAATTTCTGGTTTAGGTTAATTCTTAGTTAGTGACACGTAAAGCTTATATATCAGTATTTTTGTTCACAGAATCCAAATCTGAACAACAAACTCCAGCTGAAGACTCTCTGGCCACTATTTCAGACTTGCAAAGAGAAAAAAACAATAAAACTCCAGAAGAATTAATCGAAGAAGTCAAAGAGGAAGTTAACAAACTGAATATATCATCAGAACAACAACAAATTGTTGCTGATAAGACAAACGAGTCTTTGAAAAACGTTTTGGTATACAACAATAGCGATAGCAGTGATGATTCAGACGAGGAAGTAGATATCACTGAAACTGAAATATTGTATGACCAAAGGCCAAGCGACGAGCAAGAAAAGCTTATGCAGCCAAATAAAGTTGCAGATGACAGTCAAACAGATAGTTCCAGTGAAGTAAGTATATTTTCTAATTTGGATTTTACTTGTTTTATCATGAGTTCTTGAATTTACCTCAAATCTTCAACAATAGATTCAATTTATCAAGTTTTCTATACTAAATGCCAAATTTATTATTAACCTAAATTTAGGATAGCGAAGCTGCTGCACCTGAAATTAAAAAATCTGAACCAAAACCAGCCAAAGACTCAGACAGCAGTGACTCAGAAAGCGACTCAGCCTGCACTTTATCTTCAGACTCTGACAGCGATGATAGTGATTCTGATGCTGAATCAGATCATGCTTCTGTGGTAGATCTTGAAAATGAGAATATTGAGTGAGTTTTATAATTGATTATTTTTAAACAAACATCATAATTATTATAATATTAGTGTGGTAAACATATCAAACAACAAAGGCGCAGTCAAAAAAACCTTCAACATCACAGGCTTTGAAGAAGCAGACTGCATCCCAATTCCGGATATTTCCAACCTAAACATCAACGAAGAAGTGGAATTTATGCTAATTGGAAGCATCACTTATATCATTGCTGAAATCGCTACTGTAACTGTTATTGCTGGTACTCCAGCTTTTGACTTGGACTCTATGTTGTTTATTGAACATGAAAACGTCAAAAAACCCATGGGTCCTATTTTTGATGTGATTGGGCCTGTTGCCAATCCCATTTATTGTGTGAGATTCAATAGCCGAGATGACATTAAAAAATTGGGACTGAAACCTGGAACTAAAGTTTTTGCTGCTCCAAAAAGTAAGGAGTTCACCAAATTTGTTTTTCTTCCAGAACTTTTAAAGTAAGTTGATTTTATTTTGATTTGCTGTTTTTAACCTTTTTTGCTTATTACTAGGTAAAGCAATCTCAAGCTCCTCTCCTATAAGTTTGTTTGTTTGAAGTTTTTTTTTTGATGAGTAGGTATTTGTGTGTGTGATTGCCTTGTTTTGCTTTTTTTGTGTGTATACCATCAACTGAATAGATTGTATTGTGTATTTTTGCTTAGGATGAAGCATTCAGATGCCTCATATCGTAACGACACCGAGGTTCCTGTTGAAATGGCTGAATTTTCTGATGACGAAAAAGAACGAGAAGCAAGACGTAAAAAGGTTGGAGGCAAAAGAAAGATAAATGACAACAGTTTGGAGAGGCACAAGAAATATGAACAAAGCATGAACAGAAGCAACAGCTTGTACACTAAACTGAGTAAACTGGGCGATTTTCGTAAAAAGGTGATTACTGGTAGGATTAGTGGCACCCCACAACCAAGCGCCCAACCAAATATTCCTCCGGAATTTGATCCGACAGTGCCGCCTCCAGGCTTTGGACAAGTTTATCCAGATTACCACTATTCGATGGGGACAATGTTGACGCAACAACGCTCTCTGTATGAATATGATTCAGTTTATCGGGCCTCTCTCCTTGCAATGCAAAACTCTGCAAATGCTTATGCAAGTGAGCTTGATTATGCCAATCAATTTGCTCCACCACCTCCAAGGTAAGAAATTGTTTTTATTTACAATCATACATGTAATGTTGACTTAACTGACTTTTGAAAATGTCACTTTTTTGACTTTTACTTTCGGCCCACGGGTTGAAAGTTTACTTTCGACCCGTCGGCCGAAAGTAATAGTCCTAGCGGCTCGCGACAATTTTCATCGAAAAACGGCAAATTGTGGTGCAAGCATGAAATTTGGTATAATTGTTTTTTAGACCATTTTAAGTGATTTGATCCGATGTACACCCACTTTCATCAATTGAGACACCCCCCACTCCAAAATGGCGGGAAATTTAGAACGTCAGTTATGAAATTGTCAGATTTTTCAATATTAAATAAAATTTTTACTTTGATCAAGGTTCTGAGGTATCTAAAATATTATTTTAAATCATTTAATGGAATACTGCTCCTCTGTGAGGGGTATATACAGCGTAGGCAAAAAGAATGGAACACCTACAGGGGTTTGAAAACTATTTTTTTTTTGAAAATCGCTCGGACCCGTCAATTTTATTGTTAAGCTGCGCATTTTTTGGAGAAAAAAAATTTATACAGGGTGTCCCAAAAGTGGTGTTACTTGCATCAACTATCAAAATCAAAATCAAAATCATTTATTCATGCCAGCACACATTAAAATGTTTACATACGTCAAAAATAGATTACACACCGAGTAAATTGTGATACAAACTAAACATAGATGAAACTAGACATTTTTCCTATAATAGTAAAAAAAAAACATTAAGTAAAAATACATTAAAATACGCAGTACATTTAAAATCTAAATTCAACAAACTCATGGAATGAATAAAAACTGTTCTTTAGAAGAATCTCTTTAACTTTTTTATGAAAGGCATTGTAGGGCAACTCTTTGATATTTTGTGGCAGAGCATTAAAAAATTTGATTGCCCAATAACCCGGGCCGTCTTGACACCTTCTGAGGCGCCAATATAAAGGAACAAGTTTATTTTTGTTCCTGGTGTTATAGTGGTGAGTATCTTCATGCTGCTGATAGTTTGAACTTTTCTTTGCGAAAAGCAGATTCTGAAGTATATACAAGGATGGCACTGTGAGTATTCCCAAGGAAACAAAAGCCTCCCTACAGTCATCCCTATATTTGAGGCCTGCCATCACTCTCACCACTCTTCGCTGTGCTGCAAACAATCTACAGACCCCCGCAGAGTGTCCCCAGGCCAGAATTGCATAGGATACATGCGAATGAAAAACTGCAAAATATGCCATTCTCAGAACAGGCAAAGAGACACAAGCTGATAGGTTCCGAATGACATACACGCCCTTTGTCAGTTTCTTGGCGACATGATCGATATGAGGTCCCCACTGCAGTTTTGGATCCAGTGTGACACCTAGGAACACTGCGCCCTCAAGAACATCCCCACATTCAGCAACATCCCTCATTGTGAAAATCATTCTCTTGGTCTTCTCTTTGTTCAACAATAGCCTGTTCGACGCAAACCATGTTTCAGCCCTCGCTTGCGCGTCCATGGATCCAGCGTATGCAGAGTCCAGGGTGTCCCCAACACATGAAATAGTGGTGTCATCAGCATAGAGGGTGAAATGTTCGTTGGCGCCATTTGCTGGTAAGTCATTGATGTAAATAAGAAAGGGAATGGGACCCAAAATGGAACCCTGTGGGACACCTATATTCATCAACCTCTCTGCTGATTTCACCCCATCACGTCTCACGCTCTGGCGCCTGTTCTCAAGATAGGACTTTATCAGTTCGATGCTGCTGGGCTGAAAATTGTATGCTACAAGCTTTTGCAGGAGGATGCCATGGTCGACGCAGTCGAACGCTTTGCTAAGGTCACAAAACAAGATTGTACTATATTGCTTATCCTGAAAAGCGTCCACAATGACCGAGATGAGCTCCAAGATACCCATTACTGTACTTCTACCCTGGCGAAAACCAAATTGGTAAGGTGAGAAAAGATCACTGGCTTCGAAAAATTTGGCCAGCCGCAGAGCCATGCATTTTTCAAATATTTTAGAAATGATTGGCAATAGGGATATCGGTCTGTAGTTTTCAGGTAAGTTAGCATCGCCTTTTTTAAAGATGGGAATTACCAAGGCTTTTTTCAGAATGTCCGGGAAAACATTTTCTCTAAAACCCAAATTAATAAGCTTTGTTAAAGGTATTAAAATGATGTTCTTGATGGTTTTGATAATTTTAATATTAAGACCAAAAATATCTCGGCTATTTTTCATTCTAAGGCTGTCAATAACGTCGCGCACTTCGTGATATGTTACTTGTGAGAAAATAAAAGAGACCTGAGGTGGATCAAGTCTAGCTAGATATGAGTTTGGTGGATTATCTACTTTTGGAATGCCCCCAACTACATTCTCAGCAATGCTAGAGAAAAAGTTATTGAAGTCGTTTGGTGACAAGTTAGTGACGTCTGTCGATTTCTCCGGTTTTCCCCTTTGCGCGTTAATTATTTGCCAGATGGTTTTAGTTGGATTGTTAGAGTTATGTATCAGATTGTCATTAGACTGCATTTTAGCTTGTCTGATTGCCTTTTTATAAACGGTTTTGTAGTTCTTATAATCTTGAATACTCCCATGACCGTACTGCCGACTCAGATCTCTCAGAAACATCAGTCGTTCCCGCATTGCCCTCAGCTCCTCACTGAACCAGGAAATATTATTTCCCTGGTCAGATCTGACTTTATAGGACTTTTCAGGAAATGAGTGCAGGTAGACCTGCTCCAAGATATACATGAATTTATTAAATTTCTCGTTTGTGTCCGTGCCCTCCATGGTGACAAAGTCCCAGGACTCAGCACCCAACAACTCATGGAATGCAAACAGGCCTTGCTGAGTAATAGGCCGGCACGCCTTTTTTTTTTCGCGAACTTTTGAGGTATCTTCTATTGTGAGCTCCAAGATCTGACCCAGATGATCTGAAAATACCAAGTCAACAATCCTAGCACAGCATATCTCGATTCCCGAACTGACGAACAAATTGTCTAGGCAGGAACCTTCACGAGTGGGTCCATAGATTGTCTGCACCAAACCGAAGCCCCCAAAAAGGTCAACAAGTCTCACACAAGCAGCCTCAGAACTATGTTATTTTAATTGGCAACCTTGGTCCCGGATTCCGAACCCACGATTCGATAGTATGGTCGTATCGTCTACAGGGTGATTCAAAAGTAAGCGGCATCCTTTCGGGGGCGTATTCCTTGCATAAAAATAAAACAAAAAGTTTCTATTAACATGGGTCCGGAGATGCTTCCTAAGGGAGCTACGCCCCTTCGAATAGGACACCTGAAAGACGTTTTTTTCTCTATAACTTTGAAACCCTTCACAAATGGATTTCGAAAATTGGTGTATTTTATAAACATTTGATGGCAATTAATTGAAAATTCAAAAATCTTGATCAATGGCGTCACGTACTGGGAAGGGTGAGGGTTAAAACATCCCAATTTTCCAAGTCAATTTTCTCGTAAACGGTATGCTGTATCGAATTGAACCAAAAGTACCTTTTCTGTGTAAAAAAGCTCTAAACTTACCGAATTTTTAATCCGAATCGCAAAAATCTGAAGAGTAAAAAAAAAATGGGATGTTCCAACCATCACCGTCCCCAGTATGTGACGCCACTGATTAAGATTTTTGAATTTTCAATTTAGTATTTTAATTGCCATCTGTTTGCTGTTTTACCAGTGTCCTATTCGAAGGGGCGTAGCTCCCTTAGGAAGCATTTCCGGACCCATGTTAATAGCAACTTTTTGTCTTATTTTTATGCAAGGAATACGCCCCCGAAAGGATGCCGCTCACTTTTGAATCACCCTGTATACAGGATGTTCGGCACATCAGTAAACATATGTAAATCTGAGATAGGTGGGACCGTCTGCTATGCGGTCCACCCAGATATTTTGACCAATTTTTTTTGCAAAATTTTCAATTTGCAGATTTTAAACTGAAATAACTTTTTGAAAAATCATGAGGAACTTTATCGATAGTGGGCATTTTTTACGAAATTCTACTTTTGAGGTAATTGCATTTTTTGTGTTAAAAACTTACAGAAGCTACTGATATTGATTTTATAATGTCTTCATAATGTCTTCAAAATGTCTAAAAAAAAATTCTTAGAGCCCAGGTCAAAAAATCTGGGTGGACCGCATAGGAAATGGCCCCACCTATCTCAGATTTACGTATGTCTACTCATGTGCCGAACACCCTGTATATGTATTTATATAGACGATACTATCGAATCGTGGGTTCGGAATCCGGGCCCTGTATATTATTGCATTTTTGGATTCTACGGAAAATTTTGAACATACATATTTCGTGTATAATATCCTATACCTATCTTCAACTGTTTCAAAATTATTGACAGTTGAAAATTGAGTGGGGACAAGCCACTCATAATTATGACCCAAGATATTTCTGTCCCTAAAAACTGGGGTTGGACATACAGGGTGTCCCGGATAAGGATGCACTTTACAGGGATTTCCGTAACCATAAGAGATACAGGGTTGGTTAAATTTGGGAAAAAGTTGCGCATTACTGAGCTCAGTGGTGTCATGCTTTGATATTTCGGATATTCCAAATGATTCCGAAGATATCCAAAAAAAACTGAATTTTGCCATAATCGTTTTTATTTTTTTCTGATTTCATTTGAAATAATATCGCAAAATAAACTTCATAAGTTCATATTCTCATTGACACTTTTTCTCCACTACATAAAAATGTTTATTATTAGATTTTTGATCAGACTTTTTGTTCAAATAGTCAAGTTTTTTTTATTTTATGGCTAATAAATTCTTCTAAATCCAACGAAATATCAAGCTCATAACCTCAGGGTCTTTATTCTTGAAACAGGGAGCAGTGTTCCCAGGAGAATAAGTGTTCCGTATGATATGCAACTGATGATATAGGTAACAAAGATGGAACAGCAGTTCTCCTGGACACACTACTCCCCTTTTTCCAGAATAAGGGCCCAGGAATATCAATTGCCACTAGTGGTCCCATTATCGGGCCTCCGCAATCTTCAGACATTGTACCAATAGATTTTGAAAAGTCAGTTAACTTTATTCTTAAGGAATCCTCGAAAGATAAAATCCATCGGTGTAATGTCTGGAGATCGCGGAGGACCGTTAATGAGACCACTAGTGACAAATAATATTCCTGGAATTATGAGCTTGATATGTCGTTGGATTTAGAATAAAAAGTAGAGTTTATTAAGCATAAAATGAAAAATTTTGACCATTTGAAAAAACAAAGTTGATGATGATCGCGAAGAAACGAAACGTCTGATCAAAAATCTAATAACATTATCATGTAGTGGAGAAAAAGTGGCAACGAAAATGTGAAGTTTATTTTGCAATATCATTTCAAATAAAGTCAGAAAAATTCGGTTTTTTAATTATTATCTTCGGAATTTCCGAAGTATTAAAACATGACGCCACTGACCTCAGTATACGCAACTTTTTCCAAATTTAACTAACCCTGTATCTCTTATGGTAACTAAGATCCCTGTAGAGTGCATCCCTATCCGGAACACTCTATACAGGGTGTCACGAAAGGTTTGTTACAAACTTCTAGGGATGGTAGATCTTATGATAAATAAGATTTTTTTTTAATAAACATGTGTCCGGAAATGCTTCGTTTTCTAGATACAGGGGTGTCAAACTTTGTAAAAAAAAAACAACTTTCCCATTAATTCTAAGAAATGCGTTTTTTGTTATTTTTAAGCAAAAAAAAGGGTAGAGAATTTCGGGTAATTCTGAAGCAATTTATTTTTAATTTTTGGAGATCAGTGACGTTCGGGGTTCGCCTCAAATAGTTTTTAGATTTTATCTCGAAAACAAAGCATCATACGGAAAAAAATTAGGAGATACAAAAGGTGTATTTTTGAGTGTTTTATTTAGAAAACATCCTAATTGAAAATAAATCTACTTGGCGATGTTTTGCGTGCAAAAAACCATCCGACACGACCTGTGGGCACGCCCCTGAAATTACTGGGTCAACTCTGAGCAGTCCAAAAGATACCTCATAAGGGTGTCAACAATCTGTGAAAATATCATTTAATTCGTTCCACGCATTTCTAAGAATTAATAAAAAAATATATTTTTTTTTTACAAAATTCAACACCCTGTATATGGAAAGCGAAGCATTTCTGGAGATATGTTTATTAGAAAAAAAGCTTAATTTCTACGAGATCTACTATCCCTAGAAGTATGTAACAAACCTTTCGTGACACCCTGTATATGGGTGAAAGATGGCAACCAAAATGGAGCACAATATCCGAAATTTGGAGTGACCTCAAGAATTTGCAAAGTGTGGCTTCCAGTCAGGGTGCGTTAGTAAAGGGAGTATTGCTGCCGCAAAACGCAGCTACCTTGCATACCTGGCTTGCTATTTGTGAATTATCTTATTCAAATTTTGTCGAAAACAATGATTCATTTCAAATATTAGTCCTGTAGCAATTTAGCTGCCAAGAATCAATTTCTTGAATAATTTTTGCTATAAAACGACATATCACATGCCCTAGAGGAGATTTATATGCAAAAATGTAAAAAAATTGGCCGCCATTTTGAAGAAAATCCCTTACAGAGGAGCAGTATTCCATTAAATGTTTTAAAATAATATTTTAGATATCTCAGGACCTTGATCAAAGTAAAAATCTTATTTAATATTTAGTTGGGAATCTGACGCCTCCTAGGAAGCCTTTTAAAGATGCTCTATACAAGTCGCGAACATCCACCTAAAAAACATGAAATCCTATGTAAAATGACCTGCCGGATTCGAATTTCTTGTTCGCCCTTTGATCCGGAATTGCGAAATGTGTCAAAACATGACATTTTTGTGTAAAAAAATTGGCTGAAGACGAAATTTTTTAAAAATTTCTCTTAGGAAATATTTTATGCACGTGTTATATTTTGATAGGAAATTTTCAGTTTTTTCAAAAATGTCATGTTTTGACACATTTCGCAATTCCGGATCAAAGGGCGAACAAGAAATTCGAATCCGGCAGGTCATCTTACATAGGATTTCATGTTTTTTAGGTGGATGTTCGCGACTTGTATAGAGGTGGTCGAATTCAGCACCTCAGATTCCCGACTAATTGAAAAATCTGACAATTTCATAACTGAAGTTCTGAATTTCCCGCCATTTTGGGGTGGGGGGTGTCCCCATTGATGAAAGTCGGTGTACATCGGGTCAAATCACTTAAAATGGTCTAAAAAACAACTAGGCCAAATTTCATGCTTGTACTACAATTTGTCGTTTTTTTTTGCCTACCGCTAGGACTATAAATGAAATTTTTAAAATTTATTGTATTTTTTGACTTCTACTTTCGGCCCACAGGTGGAAAGTACACTTTTCTCCCGATTCAAATAAAAATTTCAAAATTTGAATGATTGTAAATAAAATAGTAAACATACGTTTATATGATGAATAAATAAATAAATAATAAATAAATAAATACCTCGTTGAAAAGTTTCATTACTGTCTCGAGTTTTCAGTTAGACCTCGGCTGCGCCTCGGTCTAATGACAGTAATGAAACACTTTCCACCTTGGTATATAATATACTATTATTTTATTGAACAAACTAGCAAAATAACTATTTTAGGGATTACAACAATCCAAGCCAGAATCAACAACAACCGCCCTCAGTCAACAGTTATTTGTGTCAAAATTTGACTCGAAATAATAAAGGCCCTGGACCTTCATCTCAACCCTATTAATTAATATTATTGTTTTTTTTTTTTTAATATAACTTCCAATTGCTTGTTTTTCTTTTACAAAAAAAAAATTGTATATTGTGATAAAAATATATAAATTCTATTTAAAATTAATAAAAGTTTGTGTGTTGTTTCCTCTATTTTAAAGGAGAGTGAGGCTGTATGAAGATTCACATTAACAGTATTTTTGTTAAAAGTTTAGTAATAGGTTTTTGATACAGGGTTTTAATTTTCTTTTCTTACGAATAATAGTTTTAGGTGTTTTTAGAATTAAAATTGTTTAGTTTAAAGTACAAATGCGTCAGCAATAATACTCTTATTTTTTTTTTGGTTTTTGTATTATTATAAAATTTGGTTGAATTATTTTTTGGTTTGTAGCGTTCAATAAAGAGGCTTATTTAAATGTTTATTATGAGTTTTAATTTTTGTTTCACAAATTTGCTTGAATCAAAGACATAATAATTGATAGATTTTAAAATTGAATTAACTGAGCTGAAAAATCCTGTATAGATATGAATTACAAATAAAACAAATAATTTTATATAAATACATTTAATAAACAACCAATAGGTACGAGTGAATATATTGGATCACCTATTTTGTTAACATTTATTATAGAACATTTTTGTTTTTTTCTTGGTAATAATATCAACAAATCATGAGGTAATTAAACATGTAAATAGGTTACACTTAATACACAGCTTTGTAGATAAATAATTTCCTTTTTTGCACTTGTAGATTTTTTTAGGAAAATGAATAGTGTTTCATTATAACATGTGATAATACGATATTGTCATATAGTAACACTTTTTATATATTAACAGACACTAATAATGTTTTCTAAAAATTCAAATCAAATAATTGACATTTTTGTGTTTGAATATTTATCAAATTTTTGCTTTTATTGTCAGAATATTTAAACTAAAAGAAAAATAGATTTTTACTTATGTACGCCTACCACAACTTAAACAAAATATGTCATAATTTTGTACAAATAATAAAACCAATCTACAAAACTACCACAGATTCTCCAGTTTGCTTGAGCACAAACTCAAGCCTCAGCCACTCTTTACAGCTGCGCCGTCTAGTACTAACGACCCCCGAGCCTTCTTGCGCAGGCGCCGCACTACTTTTTTGTCACAGTTCTTCGGGCGGTTTATTCAAAATCCCTTGCTTAGTCAAAGGACTGTGCACCACCATCGGTGCGTTCAAACTGGTAAAATACCCACCGACTTTCGGTTTGATGTGTCGATTGTTCATTTCCATGTGGACGATTTTCATGAATTCGATTTGTGCGGCCAGCTTTTGGATTTCTTCTTTGAGTTCTTCGTTTTCTTGATATAAATCTGGAGTTTCTTCTGATACTAGTCCGATGCCGTTTAAGGAAAAGGAGGCTGTTACTCCTCTGGATCTGGCTCTGTTGTCCCATTGATCGCCTTGACCTCTTAATACTCGAATTACCTAAGTATACATTTAAAATATAATAATATTCGGTTAATAGATGGAACTTACTTTTGGCCCAAACACTAAAACTATGGTTGTAGTGGTGGATAGCTGAGTCCTCACAAATCCTAAGAAATATTTGATGTCTGGTCCAGCTCTTGGAAATATGAATAAACTATAACAAAGGTTATTATTTAATAATAAACAAGTTAATTAAAATCAAATTGCCTTTTGAAACGAGATGAATTTAATTGAATAAATAAATATACATGAACCTGCCGCAATATAGTCGGGGCAAAAATAATTACAGGCCGTAAATTTTCAAAAATTGAACCTAATTACTTACTGAAACGCAATCATCATAATATTGACCAAAGCGATATTATAAATGGCATAACTAATTAGCCTCGCTTCATTATACAAGGATTCAGCATTTCTCACGTTATAGCACACTCTGACACCCCATGCCAAAAACAAAACTTCTCCTAAAATAAAAATTAATCATTATAGAATTTTTTTCAAATTATCGTCTTACCAATAGCCAAACTATGATCCCACCAATTATAAGCGCACTGTTTGAACCTCAAGCCTTCGTGATCTACAATTTCTTCAGCGGTTGGTGTATCGGATAAAGTCCAAGTACCCAAGTAAATGAGCATTACTAGTAGAATCGGTACCATCCATTGGAGCAACTGTTTGTCGGTTAATTTAACTTTGTGTGCTGATTTTACACGATAAGTTAGTGACACCCTGTAGAAAAATTGAAAATAATTTATCTGAGAACCTAACAAAGCTGATTTGAATATTGAACTGACTTAATAATGTATTCAGATTGAAAAGAAAGGAAATGAAACGCGTAAAAAAAAGTTAGTTTCATGAGGGTTTGTAGTTACGTCATTTTTTTGAAAAATAAGTTTTTTCATGTCTGAAATTTCAAACAAACATATAGTTCGTTACACGGCACGAAGATTTTCACTTACGTCATCGATGACGTCATAACTTGGCGAAAAAGTTAAGTCATAGATTAATTCATAGAGCACCTTCGAAATTATTGTTTTGTAATACATTTCTCAACTTAGAATAGAGTTTATTGAGTTATCCGAAAATATATAAATAAATTTCTCCTGGAGTGATTTTTCACTGGAAAATTTTGCAATTTTCCTCTAATGAGCTCCTCACTTTCCTCTTTCTCCTGTGAAAATTTCAAAATTTTCCCATTGCCAGTTTTCCAGAAAAAAATTAAAATGTAAGAGGGTGAATTTTCTTTAATTTTGCCTAAATAAGTCAATTTTCTTTGAATTTTTTCTTGAGTGATTTTTCACTGGAAAATTTTGAAATTTTCGTAAAATGAGATCCTCATTTTCCTCTTATACGTCAAAAAATTTCAAAATTTTCCCTTTGCCAGTTTTCCAGAAAAAAATTAAAATGTATAAGAGGGTGAATTTTCCTTAATTTTACTTGAAAAAGTCAATTTTCCAGAATTTTCCCTGACGTGATTTCTCATTAGAAAATTTCGAAATTTTCCTATAATGAGCTACTTATTTTCTTCTTTCTCCTAGAAAAATTTCACAAGTTTTGCTTTATCAGTTTTCCAGAAATAAATTGAAATGTGAGAGGATGCGTTTTCTTATGGCGTTTCCGAATGGTAGATTCAGTGCGCACCAAGTGTATTTGCATCCTTTTAATCGACCTGTAGAAGAAAAAGACAGAAATAGAAAAAATTGCACTAGTTCCGCACTAGATCTACCAATCACTGGCGCCGACTACATGGGGGCATCGGGGCAGGTGCACCCATGAGAAAGGGAACTCTCGTGGGGAATGCGGAAGTACAAACGTGTTTAATGTTCGTTCCATGTTCCATGTGGTAATATCCAGTATCATGTAATTTAAAGGACCCCGCACACTTCTTATGGGATTTTCGTTGAACGCGGAATTTAACCAAATTTTGGTATGTTGTATATTTCGACCTCCTGAGTAAAAGTTCTCATGGGTACAAACCGATCCTATGACTTGTTTCGGATATACAGGGGGTTTTCTTATACTACCTTAGGCAACCTAAGTACCTATATAAAGTCTACATAAAGCAAAAAAACTTGCATGTATTGCTTTAATAGTAGATTATACCACGAGTCAATAATGATAGCTATTATTCCCGAGGATTATTACGAACTGAGCCGCGTTAGCGGCGAGGGAGTAACATTCCGAGGGAATAATAGCCATTATTGCGAGTAGTATACTCTACTTTATTTACGACAAATTAATTTATTTGAGATTTTCAATGAACAAATTTCATCCGTCTCATAATTTTCAATACAAATCCACAAGCACTACACGTTTGACACTGACACTTTTGTGGAATAATGACCATTAATCCCGCTACTCGTCATTAATCCCTGGAGGAATAACATATGTCATTATACTGCCAAAATCACAAATATAATACGCACATTATACATTAGTCGTAAATAAAAGTTGTTTATTTCATCTTTCCTTAACTAAAAATGTTTAGTAGGTGTTCGAAACTCTTCCTTCATATACCAGGGACGCTCAAAAACTATGGCTATTACTAAGCTAAATGAGTTAATGACCAAAAATGTTTAAAAGTGTGAAAAATTGTGTACTTGTAGGTACTCAGATACTTACGTTTTGTGATAAAAGTGATTTTCTATCTCAATGAATTCCAGTTCTTGCTACGCTTGTGCTAAAAACTTTTTGCTTCATGATCCCTAGGGTTTAGGTGTTTAGATATTAGGTATACATACACTAGGGTTGCCAGACCTCCTATTTTTAATATGAGACTCATATATTTCTACTATATCTCATATCTCATATTAGCAAGTTTAATATGAGAATATTTCTCATATATTTTCCTAAAAAAAAAAAAGAAACCATGTATATCACTATTATCACTACCGTACACGTGATAGGCCGGTTTCATGGGTCCGTTATCCGACCGTCCGATGGTACGACGGAGCTCCTATTGGCTAAAAAATTTCCCGCCAATTTTTATCCGAATATTTTCAACTTTTTTCTGACGTCGGACAAAGTTAAAATAATAACAAAACGATTTTGGGTCAGGCAGGGATTTGTTTAAACATCAAAAAATTTAAGGTGTTGTCCACGACTTGTTACAAGAAATGAGACTCACGCTGACGGATCAGGAGACGTATCTTACCACCTGGATGCCCAGCAATACATTCCAAAATCTGCTAAAAATCATAGCTAAAGTGTGTCTAACCAAGGTTGAACGTTGAAGGTTACCTATTTATGCTTGTAACCATAGGATTCACACGTTCGGACCTATTTTGGTTTGATAAACATAGTGCGCGTGCAATGAAGACAGCAGCAAAAAGCAACGTCTGTGATATATTCGAGTAAGTGACCTTCAACATTCAACTTTGGTTAGACAAAGTTTAATTGTCAAGATGGGAGCTTTTTCGGATTTTGTCATTTTGTACATAAAATATTCTCATATATTATTAACCAATCTCATATGATTTTATACCAGGGTCTCCTATTTTCAAAACTCAAGTATCTGGCAACCCTAACATACACTTGGTGATTTGTTTGAAAAATCTAAACAGCCATGGAAAGAAAAGCAATGAAAATTGTTTTTTCATGTGTCATATTTCACTTGGTAACCATGGTAACCAAAACAGTGACCCTGTCAATAAAGCGAATTGTCTTTTTTGTCACCTTTCTTGTGAAAATGGCCGCGTTCACCAGATACAAACGTTGGTAAACGGTTTGCGATTGTTCTGCTGAACGCTACGTTGAATTTGTGTTAAAACCCAACATGTTTTGCAAACGGGCGCCATTTTTGCAATCATAATTTCAGAGTGTTTATAATTTTCAACACTGTGTTTTGTGTAGTGACCTATCATTCAGAAGGTGACGTTCTACCATTGAAAAATTGAATCGTTCAACAGAACCACGAGTTTACCCAACATATTCTGTTTGTATTTGTAAACTGTTTACAATCCGTTTTGTTACTGAAAGATGCCGAAGTCCGTAGATTGGTTGTAAAGCGTCGAAACGAGTTAGGATTTGAGGATGAAAACCCTATTGTTGAAAACTCAAGGTGGATTTTGATATTGAAACATAAACAATAACGATTGGTCCAGTGGCGTAGCCAGCCTTGCGGGGCGGATGGGGCAAACATATAAGGGGCGCATAATTTTTTTGGGGGGTGGGTGGTGGAGGATAACAAATAAATGTTCGTAATTGTCTGCTTTCGTAATATTTGCTTATTGGGGGAAGATATCAAAGACGCGCTGCCGAAGGCGAAACATTTTCTCGAGTGCCACGCCCAAAAAAGTTTTTTTTTTTGGGTTCCAGGCCGAAAAACATTTATGTATTTTAAGCCTTACGAAAAATAATGTGTGGACATGCTGTTAACTTCAAAAAATCCTCCCGAACGTTTGCGGGGACGCCTTGAAAACTGGGGAACACATCCGGGGAAATCCGGACGGATGACAGCCTCACCCAACCCAATAAACAAATACCACATCAATCATCAAAACAGAAACTTTCCTTTGCCGACAATGCCGACTTACGATCAAGAATTAATAAAGAGTGAAGAGGTCAATAATAGTTATTTATGTATCAAGGGTACTAAGTAGATGATTATACCCTGAGGGCGAGAGTCTTACAAACCGAGGGCCTCTGGCCCGAGGGTTCGTAAGTTGCCCGAGGGTATATATATCTATTAGTACCCGTGGTGCATACAAATTTTTATGTCATACCAGTTGGTTGTGAATAATAAATACCTGGGAAAAAAGTGTCACTTTGCAAATTGTCATCAGTGTTCAAAATCAACATTGACAAAAATAATATGTTTATAAGCGTAAATTTATATTTTGTTAATAAAGAATAAGTTAATTGAAAACTTTTTTTTGCGTCTTTATGCCCGCGCGGGCCATAATGTGTACTTTATGCCCGCGCGGGTCATAATGTGTACTTTATGCCCGCACGCAAACACAATAATGTATTGGTATGACATAAAATAAATAAGAAACAGCATCATTTTATAATTTCTTATTTTTTGCTTTTGTTTTTCAAGAGCGGTAGGGGCGCGACACGTGTGGGGGCGGGGGGGGGGCCGTCGCCCCCCTTGCCCCCCTACTGGCTACGCCACTGGATTGGTCGGAAAATGAGGTTTCTCTGCAGGTTATAATCACTTTACAATGCATGAGGTGCAAATGGCATCTTGCGACCAATAAGCGGCATTGTTTATGTTTCAAAATTGACAGTGTCAAGTCAAAATCTATCTTGGGAAAAATACAGTATATAGTTTGTCATACTTCTATTTGTGTTTGTTTTAAAAACACACAAAGGCCCACCAAACAAGTACTTTTCAAAATACCCTCGTACATTCACATATATAGTCACCTAACTGAAAACATGCACTTTTCTGTGAAAGGTCTAAACTTAATCAACATTTTTTAAAGCTACCTATCTCAAATAAACGCAAAAAGCATGAAAATTCAGTATTTTCAGGTTGCCTGAGGTAGTATTAGAAAAACCCCCGTATATCCGAAACTACTCATAGGATCGGTTTGTACCCATGAGAACTTTTATTCAGGAGGTCGAAATATACAACATACCAAAATTTGGTTGAATTTCGGGTTCAACCAAAATCCCATAAGAAGTGTGCGGGGTTCTTTACATAACTTTGTATGAGAATTATACAAGTGGTGTGTGTGTGTGTGTGTGTGTGGTATTTTGTCCAGCGTTGCCAGACTCTAAAA